CTCTCTCTCTCTCTCTCTCTCTCTCTCTCTCTCTCTCTCTCTCTCTCTCTCTCTCTCTCTCTCTCTCTCGCGCGCGCGCGCGCGCGCGCGCGAGCACTGCGAGACATGCACGTTGAAGCGAAATCTCGAAGCACGCGGTCAAACACGGTAAAGCACGAGACATACACGTCGAAGCGAAATCTCGAAGCGCGCGGTCAAACACGGCAAAGCATGAGACGGGTTGAAATACCAGACAGCGGGCCGGACGAACGACTCGTTTCAGAGGACCCGAAAGAACACTCCCGACCGTCGAGATTGGCAGGCAGGCAGGTCGGACGGCTGGATAGAACTTTCGCGAATCGGCCAGGTGCGGATTCTCGAAAGCTTTACCTGGCCGTCCAACCCGCCTGCCTGCCGATCCCAACGGCCGCGAGTGTTCGTTGGGCCCCGCCGCCAGTCCCAACGTTTTTCCAACACTCGGAGCAGGGTTTCACGGGGGAGTGACACCAGACCCGCTATTTGCTTAAGAATAGTAAGGGAAATCATTTTACTCCAAAGGCAAATACAAGGCCGGGGACCTCACAATCCACCTGGGGTTATCCTGGGAGCCTTAACCATGAGCATCGTTAAATAGCACCCTTGTCCATTTTCGGAAATTTGATCCAACTCCCATGTTCTCCATGCATTGCTGAAGGAAGTTGCAGTTCACCTGGTCATAAGCTGTGTTGATTTTTTTTGTCCTTGATGATGTATCTTACCGAGTCCGAAAGCATCCTTACGTTGTCGAGGATGAAGCGTACCCGGGATGAAGCCCGTCTGGTCTAGGTGGAAGCATCCTCGGGTTACGTTTCTTAATCTGTTGGCTAGTGCTTTGGCCACGATCTTGTGCGTCAGAGTCAGCAGAATGATGGGGCTATAGTTCGTTATGTCCTTCGGATCCCCCTTCTTGTTCAGTAGTGTGACTATGCCTGGGGCTGGATCTGCTCCCAGACTCTCTGCTTGCCACCCCTTATTTCAGTCCTCCTCTTATTCTCTTCCCAATATTGGCCAGTACTCCACCCACAATTCTCTCGTCAAAAATCCGTCCGTTCCTCCCAAGTGTCTTGTTAGGGGACGTTGAGTTGAGCGCTTCGTTGAGTTCCTCCTGAGAGAGAGGAGCGTCCAACATCCCCGCTTTTTGCTCCCTCCCTGTCTATCGTGCAGTCAAGGTAGGATAGTAATTTAGTTCTTGCTGTAGAAGTTGTGTGCTATTGTATTGCCACCAAATCCTCGGCTTCCCAAACGACTCCTTGTGGTCCCTTGGCTTTAATCTTCTGGAAAAAGAATATGTTGTCATTCTCTCTCCCTCCTCCCGGTCTCTACTGCTTGCCCGCATTTGTAGCCCTCTCGTGCTCCATCCTTCCCATTCCCGCAACTCGTTCCTTGCTGGCTGTCTCCAGCACCCTCCCTCTTGTACATCTCCGCTCCTGGGTCCTGGGCTCCGCATCAGGTTGTGCTCTGTTTTGCAAAGAGGGCTTGCTGTAGCTCCTGTTCCCTTGCTTTCTGCTTGACTGTTAACTCTCTGGCCACTTTGCTTTGGCGCTGAATCTCCTGATAATTCTGCGAGAAGGTCCGGGAAGGACTGGTCTTGCGAATTATGAGTTAGGCATGCATGCAGAATGGGCTGTCTCCTCTCTGGTGTCTGCAGTGGTGAGTTGTTAATTTTGTAAACGCCCCTGCCTCTCTGAATTTGTTTGTCGGTGGAGAGGTTAAGAAAGGACGACGGGTTTATGATCGAGGCCGGTGGCATAAGGAAAGTCTCCTATCCTATCCGGACCGAGTGTTATGATGTACCTATTAAGGTTTGAGCAATTTAAAAGGGCCTTTATGATTCAGACCCGTCAATGTGACCCCAACATAAAAGGGCCCTCTCGGCCAGAAATCAATTTCACGAGCAGCAATCAAAAGGACAAGTTCCCTGAGGCAAATGTCGCATCCAGTGTGAGATGAAAAGTCGTTTTGAATAGTCACAGTCAGGTCCTAGACAAACAGGTACCGGGTTACTTTAAGACTGAGATAGGGTCATGTCTGTTCGGCAATAAGTCAAAGGTCACAGTCCCAGCCTAGTCACAGCCCGACGAGTCAATTCTGACTCAGACCAGGAGTCGCAAAGACAGGCCCGACGGCCAAAGCAGCAGCAGACCATGGGAAAGGGTACTGGGACACACACTTTGCAACAACAGGTACTGGGATGAAGCCCCAGACACTTGGAGGCCGAACGCAGACCTCGCCAGACCGTCCATCCAGCGCTATAAAGGACTGGCCAGCCTCCCCATTAGATAGATTACTCATTCGCATGAGAGTGTGGAAGTGCTGAAGGCACTTGTGCGCCAGATGTGATTGAGCAGCGCTAGGCTTGAGAGCTACGCTGAAGGAAGAGAGAGTTGGGCGCTGGCTGAAAGGAAGGCAGCCAGAGCTAGTTAGTATTAGGAGTACAAGTGGACCCGCCGCAGCTACGCTGCGGCAGAGGAGAGGGACGAAGAGGGAGGCGGGG